TCCGACCGTCCGTCTGTCCGTCTGTCTGTGCGTCAGTCTATCCAACGTCATATTTCAGAATCCTGTGGGCCGATTCCGTTCATTCTTTGCATGTGCCTAGTACCTTATGTGGGACATGTGCACATGCAGTGGTTTAGCGATTTGATTCAAACTGGCCGACTGGCAGCCATGTTGTATTTTGGACATGCTTTGTCAGTTGTCATTCAAACTTGGTACATAGATTATACATGTTAGGATACATGTCCATGACGATTTATTTCGCAATTGGATCAAAGATGGTCGACTGGCAGGCATCTTGTTTTTGTTTGTGTTGTCAGTTTTCATTCAAATTTGGCGCATACATGTACTTTATACATGTTAGGATGCATGTCCATGACAATTTGTTTCAAAATCTGGTCAAGGATGGCCGATTGACAGCCATCTGATTTTTTAGCCTTACTACTATATTTCCACAATTTATGTACCATTTTCATTCGTATTTGGCACATACATCATACATATCAGTGTGTTTCATAATCAGATCAAAGATGGCTGAATAACAGCTGTTTTTATTTTGGCCATATTACTATGACACAAAACACGTGTTTTGATGTAAATAAACAATCTGTTGTATACGCCACTTGGAACTCAAGTTTCAAGGACACGCTCGCGACAACCCCTCCGCTTTAATATGACGAGCACAAAGAGAACTTAACGGGGACTGTGTCATTTTCAATGACTTGTTATAATTAAAATTAGTTTGTCATCTAATTGCATGTTACATGGCATATCTCCATGTATTTATGTAGTAATTTGATACTTCGGTGATTTGGTTTCAATATTACATGGACAAAGAAAATTGTAATGAATGCAGTTCAGCTTGTTAGCAATTAAGCATAGTTAGTTCATTGACAAATCTATAGATTCACTATTTATTTATTTTTTACTTTTTTTTATTTAATTTTTTTTAAGATTCAAGAAGTTCAGCCGGTGACAAGCTGTGATGCTGCCGGTTCAGTTCTTTTGTTAGGTTGCAGCAATGGTTCTATTTACTACATTGGTGAGAATTTCTCATTTATTAACATTTTTAGTGTCCTCGTTGGTTGTTTGATTGTTTTGACATTTACCATACACCTCGTCATTTACTTATTATGCTATACAGTAATTAGAAAATGCTGTGACGTGAAATCAAACAAAAACGTGGGTCCTCCATGTCTACCCATTCTCTAGATATGTACGTGTTGATGCATATGGAACACTTTTTGAGTGGTAAAAACAAGTCTTTTTTGCAACAAGATCTAGGTTGCTATTGTTAGATTGCTAATGTCGTTTCTATTATAATAACATAACTGACAGTTTCCATTATTTGCTACTTTTCTTTCACTAGATATGCAGAAATTTCCACTACGTATGAAAGACAATGATTTATTGGTTACCGAGTTATATCATGATCCGTCCAACGATGCCATCACTGCTCTGAGTGTCTACATGACACCAAAGTCCAGTAAGTTGTTGGCCACTCTCACTTGTTAGTCCTAGTTTAAACAAAATTCAAAATGGGGACTTATATTTTGGTTTCCGTCTGTCATCCATCTATCCAGAGTCGTATTTCAGCATCCTATGAATCAAATCTATTCATTCTTTGCATGTTATTTGGTCACATGAATAGTGATTTGCATATTCAATTTGATTGCATATATTATGCATGTAGCAATACATGTCCATAACAATTCAATTTGTGATCAGATAAAAGAGATACAAGCTGACAAATATTTCTCCCAATTGCAATAGAAACTGTGTCTTTAACAATGAATGTTATTTTTCACCAAAGATCAAAATTAAATAAAACTTGTTGTCACCTTAAGCATGCTAACATGCTACTAAAGATAATAGTTTTTTTAAGATCATGAATTAATACATATCGGCATCCGAAGGTTTAATAGTGAGAATTTAATTCACATAATAACAGTGTCAGTTCAAAGAAATTCTGTCAAAAAAATAACGCTGTGACATCCAAATTATGCCCAAGATGGACATTCATTTTTTTCCCTAAAAAATATAATACATTCAAGTTCATTGTTAGGATAACTTCAATGCAATCAGAAATTCAAAATAACACAACTGAGAGCTTTGTCGATTTGGTGAGCTTGTACGGACACAGAGCCAGACAGCTATTCAATCAAAGACCTGAATACATTTATCAGGTCACTCATGCCAAGTATATATGTTATCATTGAACCTTTTATCTTTCAACAACATGGGGCCAAAGTCATTCAAGCTGTCAGATGACCTGCGATGAAAGGGGACACATACATTGTTTCAAATCATTTGACAATAATGATTTCTGTGCTATGTTCTGTTTAGAAATTTAGAGTGTGAATTAAACAGATATGAATCTTTTTTGAACACAACAAATAGAATATGTGTAGTATTTTTAGTCCCTGTTCAGACCAAATGCATGCTTCCGTCCACTCGTATCCACCTATATCTCACATTTGTTTGGATCGATTAAGATCAAACTTCACACATGTGTGATTGTGCATCAATGAACTCTGTTCAAGTTTTGTACATACTTTATTAGGCCTTGATTGGGTTCAAAATGGCTGACTAGTGGCCATTTTGTTTCAGAGAATGCAGTTCTTCACCATATATTCAACGTGACTAAACCGTTCAAGTTCAAACTTCCCACATACATCATATCAACAAACACACATGCATTTTTGTCACCATCAAATCAAAAATGGCTGACCAATGGTCATCTTGTTTAAAGGAATGCAGTTCAACAGAGCCATCACTCATACATGCCTGCACTAATCAATATTAATATCAATATTTATATCTTGCATCTATAATACAAATGGGGACTATGTCATTTTCGACTCCCATGTGCGAAGCACATAATGGGAGTCTTTGCAGTTACCGGGTAGTGTGTGTGTGTGTGTGTGTGTGTATGTGTGTGTATGTGTGTCCGACTGTTCTACTGCTACAAATGTATCTCAAGAACCATACATCACTTGAAACTTGGTGCATAGATGCTCTGGGCCAATGCGCAGATTTGATTAGGTTTTGGTAAAAATCCATGCTCGTTAATTACCTAATTTGCATGAAATTAACTTAATTTTTAGCTGTTCTATGACTGTTCCACTGATATCTAAAGAACCACTCATTGGATTTTGATGAAACTTGATACATAGATGCTCTGAACATATGCACAGATTTGATTAGTTTTTAGTGAAAATCCGTGCATATTAATTACTTAATTTGCATGATAATTAGCTATTTTTTAGTGGTTCCATGACTGTTCCACTGATATCTAAACAACCACTCATTGGATTTTTGATGAAACTTGGTACATAGATGCTCTGAACTATTGCTAGGTTTTGATTAGTTTTTGGTAATAATCCGTGGATACTAATTACCTAATTTGCATAATGATTAGTAAATTTTCGATTTTATCAATGATATCTCAATGAAACTTGGTACATAGATGTCATATGACACTGCACAGACCTGATAGTTTTTATGGTAATATC